AGTATAAAGTTAAAACTAATTATTTTTTTTTAATCTTTATTCAAACTTTAAAGTTTGAAATTACTTTGAAGCATAAAAATGTTAATAATAAAAATATGAGAATAGTAGTAACTCATTTGTATTATAGATGTCGCTGTTCCTAGTACATGACAAAGAACGCCTTGGCGGGAAAATTTTATAATATAACAATTTACAAGTATGTTTTAATATTGAGAATAACAAAGTCGCCTTAATTGTTTTTTAATTAAGACTTAATAAGAAAGGATCATTAGTTTTTGTAAAACCAATTCAAATTCAATGAGATAAAGTATGGTGATAGTAGTGTAAATCTGCACGTATTATTTTTATTTAAAATTTATGCTTTTATTCCCCAAATTTTGGGTTCTACTTAATAATATATTTGAAATATCCTTAAAATATTTGAGGAAATGGAGAGTTTAGTGACGGGCGCGTCCGCGAAATAGTACCAGTCCCACTCACCCTGATGAAGGGCCCCCGATGGGCTCGAAACTATTCGGTGCCGCCACCGGACGAATATACGTGAGTGTTTAGCCGTTTTTATATAAGTTTAGTGTATCGTTGTAACGGTGGCTAACTTTAAGGCTAACCTTAAGTACAACTGCGAGGGTCCGTATCATTGTAGCCTAGGAGTCACAGGAATTAAGGACAAAAGGGAGTCACAAGTCAACTAAGAAGTTACGACAATAAAACTATATTGAAAAGATGTAATACCTCAATGTGTTAAAATTTCTCCATTAACCCAGTGACATTTGGTCATCTACTGCTGCTGGACATAGGTATCCTCTATTTGTAAAGAATATAATTTTTTTGTGAATGGAATTTTCTTTTATTTTTACGTCCTGCGTAAAATCATTCGTCAGTATCTTCGAATCTTCTATCCCTTTTTAAATATCTTACCTTTCAAACAATACATCTATCCATAGGGCATGAAAGTCAATTGATTTTAGTAATCACAAATTCGTGAAACTCAATACTGATTTGACGTAAATTGAGACTGTTTGAGCATCTACGTGATCTCTTGTAGCATGATATTAGACCCGACTAAGTCAAGAGTATAAATATTTTTTTTCACTTGTACCATTAGCATCAGTTTATAATTGAACTGCTTTTAACGATCGTTATTCGATTTTTAATTTTCTCCTGAAGATTTTTAATCAATGATTTTTTAATAACCGTTTTTAATAAATAGCTTTTAATTAAATTCATTGTTGCGTAAGCTATAATTTATTATAATACATAGTTTTTTATTACTTATCTTCTAATATTATGTTAATTAAATATCAAAAGCAGTTAGAATTTCGAAGCGGCAACACTAGCGAACGCATCGCTTGCCGTGTAATCACATCACAAACTGAAACGCGCCAAATCGTTCTGAATTTGAAATTGCGTTACGCAAACGCGCCATGACGATTTATAACCTCAAAAGTGTATTAAACATTAAGAACACTGCAAATTATTTGGCACTGAATAAAATTATCGTTAATAAGTTATTTAAAAAGAAAACGAATGACTATTAACACGTGTAACTGTTGAGCATTTCAATAAACAAGTCTATTTTATGAATCAAAAGTTAATTTAAATTAATACAAGCTATACGCCTTAAACTAAATATCGAATAAAATATCCATTAAATGTCAACTTAGCCTTATCTGTGACAACACCTTGTCACATTACTAGCTTAATAATTACTTTATTCCTATTGTTTATTGCAAAAATCTTATAAGTAGTTAAAGAAATCACCTAAACCCAATTAGATCGTTATCTAATGGATTGAACCAAAGACTTCTAGTGTCTGAGCTAGACGCTTCTAACTGTTTAGCTATAGGGAGGTCACGTCTGAACTTTTTATCAAAATTTGGCATTAATGGCCGGGCATTGTTAGCAGTTTAGCCGCGCCGCTACATATTTATGAAAGGCCGTGATTAATCAACACCAATAGCGCAGTGCGCGCTTTATTGCATAGCTCTATTTACCCGCTATGCAGCGGTGACATCTCATTATATACCAGGCGACCAGGGCCCATATACCGCGATAGCCTATCTAGTACGTTAGCACGCAAAAATCTAGCGCTAGGTGCTCTCCCGACGCGCGGCACACAGGGGCACGTGCCCCCCTGTCGCACGCAACACACGCACACAGCCGCGCCGCAAGGAGCGAGACTGCGTGCGAGAAAAAGACAGGCATAAAAAACACCCGCTGGTGTGAGGCGATGCCCCCAAAAAAAGCACCAAAAACGCAATCTGCGCAACTTTCCGGCGCAGAATCGTTAACGACTCCCGCTCTCTTTATCGTGCATGCCGTGCCTCCTATATTTCTATTTTTTCTCTGTCCGCTTTAAGCCTTAAGACTGTTCTCAACTCAACTCATTTTAAGCTCAATGCCAATGGTATAAAGCTCGGATTAGAGACGAGCGATTGTGGCGGATACGTACTCGCCTTGTCGAATAACGCACACATAGACACCGGAACAGAAAATAACGATCGCATTTTTGACCGAAAAGGACGGACAGATGGCTGAAAAGAGAAGCAAAAAAACGACCACCATTTTGCTTGGCGCACCTACGACGCGGCGAGGTGAGGGTTTATGTATGCTATCTTTTTTTTTCTTTTCATGGGACAAAAAAACCAACCAAAACAAATGCACGTGGCCGAGTGTTATGACCGACGCGGAAAAAATTCCAACGAGCGCTAAGAGATGCCGTTGTCGGCGCGTATTTTTACTGTAGACCAATTTAGTTGCGAAAAAATTACACCGCGGCGCTTCTGTTGCCCGGGTACAATAAATTCTGTTCATGGATAATATATTAATGAATAATTAGTATTGACCTAATTTCTTTTTCTAATTCTTTAATGATTGATGATTTGCTCACCAAACCGCATGTGTACAGACAAAATAATTTTAGTCTAAAATTTTTAGACATTTTGTTTTAAAACAAAGAAAAAAGATTTGAATTTTCGAATATCACGATAGCGATTTTCCTCCTATATTTGATACCAATTAAGAGAAAAAAAGCCAAACTAACCCCAAGTAGGTAAGAAAATGATTGTATTTAACTTAACATTATATAGTTTTTTTTTGTTTAACGTAAATAACCAAATCTTATTAATGCTTACTTTCTTACTAATATTATAAATGCGAATATTTAGATGAATGGAGGGCTGGATGTTTGTTTGGAGGTATCTCAACATATACATATAGAACATAGTCTGGAAGAACACATTCTCAAATTATGTTTCTATTCTGATGAGTCGACCGCTATAAAAAAAAAAATTACTATTTTTAGCCAGACATTTCTATGTGCGTAAAAATTGAAAAAAAAAAGAATTTAGAAATGAATTTAGAGGTGCGTATTTGATAACAGCGGACAGAACTCAGACGGTCGCGCGCCGTGTGTACCAAGCACTACAAACGAGTCGTGCGTTATTAGTTGGATGGTGAATTCGGAAAAACACGACCCTTTTCAAAATACAGGTTATAAGGTAAATGAATTTTTATTAAATATACGTTTTGTCTAATTACATTTAAAGCGATGTTGTGACTTTGATTACGATTTGTTGTATTATAGAATAGAAATCAAAATTAATTGCGTTACATTTACGTACTATATTTTTTTTATTTTATCTCTTTCCTTTTCATCTTAGAGTCTTTGTTTTTTATCTATAGTTAAGTCTGATTGGCGATTTTTAATTTTAACGATAGAAATTTAATTACGAATGACTTTTGAAAGTACAGAGTTCGAATATGTAAGAGCTAGAGATATACAGAGCTTATTAATATTTTTTTTTATCTAGAACTACTTTCTTTCATGTACAATATTATCACTACAGCTAGCCTGGATCGTCCAAGGCAAAGGCTTTTGAATTCCTTGGAGGCCTCTAAATTCCTAATCATGTAATTTTTGCTAAGCTTTTTAAAAGTCTACGATAAGATTATAAATGAAAAATCAATAGCACTTTTTTGTCCTTTTATTTTTTTAATATTCAAGCGGCAGCGAAAAGCGGAAGCGTAGAAGAGCGCTGCAAGCTGGAGCAAGCTGTAGGAATGTTCTTAGTTGCTTACATGACGTAGCACACCGTAGACACGAGCAACGGGTAGCGTAGACCGAGTCTGTAATGAGAAAGATGTACTTCATTAAGATGTTTACACTTTCGTCTGACATTTTTGTACCCCGAGGAACGAGCTACTATCGAAAATGCTTTTGTTGATGGAGGAATCTTGTTTAATCTAGAGATATCTATAAACTAGACTTTGCCCCCGCAGAATTAAAAAGGAAGCCTATGATATGCCCGTATAAAGTCCCGTCAAAATCAGTCCTGCCGTTCCGCAGATTATCAGGAACAAACGCGGCTTTACGGACAGACACGCAGACAAAATTTAAAAATTGAATTAAGTTATTAGCAATCAATCATCATGTTTACGTAAATAATACGATTTTTTATATTACATACTGACTCTCCAATTTTTTTAATATGCGTAGATTAAAAATGGCTACATTCACGCCAGCCAGCAGCAATGCCGATATCAGACTAACTAATACGTGAGTGCGGCCATTTTTAATTATATTATAGCAATAATCTCAATAATAATAATAATTCTATAGTTTTTTTTATATCATAAGGTGGCAAACGAGCTAGCGGCCACCTGAAATCGCTGAAATAGCGAAGTGACCGTTGCCCATAGACATACGCAATTGCATATGCGTTGCCTACCTTTAATCGACGGAGGAGAGGATGCAAAGAAAGAAAATATATTCCCTTTCCATGCATCCTCACATCCGGAAAGTCCACTTCCACCTCCCATCCTTTCCTTATAAGAATAAAGGTGGGAAGGGAAAGGGTCTAAATAAGGACGCACACTCATCAGACGAAACGCGGAATTGCTTCCACTTCACGCCTGTTTTCTGTGTGGTCGTAATGTAGTCACCACAATTACAATTAAAGTTGTTGTAAAGCTTGATTTTAGAATGTACTTACAAAAATAAAGATTTCAGCTGACGTTATCCATTAAATTGTGCCGTCTTTTTTATTATATCTTTTTATCTGAAAAAAAAAATGGCAATCGTATTAAAATCTGAATGTACTTTAATGTATTTTCACACGGACGTTATTTTAAAACAGGCAAATCAATTATTTCCAAACGAACAAAAAGCTATTTCGAATTAATTAAGATATAATTATTTCTGGTTAATAAATAATTTCGTATTGATCTAATAATTTAATTGTTAGTTAAACTATGTCCAATTTATTAAATAAAATTGTTTATTTATATTTAGATAGTTTTAATTCTGTTCAAAACGAGACTCAATTTGACTACGTATGCTCATTATAATACGGAAATGCAAATAATTAATTACAATTGAAATGGAAATTATTAATTAAACATAACTAATTATTAAATAAAATAATTTTTACCGGTACAAATAAAACTAACACAGCGGTTTCTACTTTCACATTTTAATATTAATAAAATCATATTATAAGTTTTACTTTTTACATAAGGTTAATTAACGACCGTTTTAAATACGGTGCATCTTATGACAATCCAATTATTCTTTACGTGTGCAAAATATAATCGAGAGCTGTTAAGCCGTTCTGGAGTTACCTTTAAACAAACATCCATCCATCCATCCATCCATCCATCTAAACAATCGCATTTTTAATATTAGTAAGATGTAACGGAAAAAATACGCTTGGGTTCTATGATAGAGTATATTTGTACAATGGGTTTGAATTCAGACATGACTATCAACGTAGAGATACTGTGCCGACTCTACATAAGGATAAAGGGAGAGAGATGATGGAATCAAATCAAATATGTGTCCCAGCATTAATTGAGATTGAAAGACATGGTCTTGTTTCTTTTATATACGCATCAACAGTGCTATGAAAATTATTTTTATCTACAAGTGAGGGGCCAACTAGACGCGGACGTATAGAGCGTTGCTCTGTTCGTGAAGCGCGAGCGAAAAAGTTTCGCTAATTGTTTTTACAAAACTGTCGACATGCTAAAACGCTCAAACGCTAACTGTCAAAAATTATCAAAAAACAAGAATTGTTTTTGTTTCTGAATATGACGTTTAATTGTAATGGTAAATTGTAAATTCGTGTTACCATGTTCCCCTTTATACATCTCATAACTATAGAACATACGAAAAGTTATGTGAAATCGAAAAATCTGTATACATCGTGTTCAATAATAGGTATATTATTGATCTAACCTTAGGTAATTGATGAAATTATCTAGTTCTAACATGTAAGATTTTTGTAACGCTACGACTTACGTAGCATCTGCGTAGCACTCATGTAACACCTACGTAGCACTCATGTAACACCTACGTAGCACTCATGTAACACCTACGTAGCACTCATGTAACACCTACGTAGCATTAGACGAAATGCAAATAGATAGGGTTTTTAATTGATGTAGTCGCAATAACTACTTGAATATGAGACTAAAACTTTACAAAAAATACTCACATAGACTGGTTTTGTGATTTTGGAATCATGGTTATGAAGTTTCTTTCTTTCTTCATATCTGAAAAGTTTAATTACAACAGTATTAATATATTTGATAGAAGCTTTTAGTGTAGTAAAAAATTTAAGTTGACAACACACAACAACAAAAAAAATTGCTAAACATATAAATTTCATGTAAGTTTGTTAAAGTTTAACAGAATAACAATACTTATAGAAAGCTATATAAGAGCTATTGTGAGTTATATAGCTTATATTGGGTTTAGTTAATTACTTTACGAATGTGCCACAGACGACGCCATTAGAACGCTCTGGAGAAGCATTCATTTTGTTTCGCCGCCGCTCTCGATGTTGCCATTAAAAGTTCTAGATTAATATAATTTACGAATTAACAAAGGTTTATGACGTTATTGTCTACGAGTCTTTGAGACTGATTAAAGTTTTCGTGATAACTGGCTGTAAATTTTTTATTTCGTCTGTAAAAAAAGTAACTACGCAGTCATCAGTCGCGATTGACTTTCTGGTTTACGAATTCCTATAACTATTATATATCCTACTAATAATATAAATGCGAATGTTTAGATGGATGGATTGATATTTGTTTGCAGATATCTCCAGAACGGTTGGATAAATCTAGCTGAAAATTCGCATAGATGTAGAACATAGCCTGGAAGAACATATAGGCTACTAATAAAGTTTTTTATTTAATCCCGCGTGGACGGTGTCGCGGGCGACAGCTAGTGTTTCTTGCAAAGTTACTTAATGTAAAAATATAAGAGCCTACTCTCTTAATAAGCGTCCACCGATCAAGTCCGATGTAAACAGATTTCCTGCGCCCCAAAAACGATTAGATTAAAAAATTCTTTCCGAAAAATGTTTAAAAACTGAACAATCAAAGATAATCTTTATTGCTTAGACCTTAAAGTTTAAAAATTATATTTAACATGACCGTCAGTCAAGATATAAACGAGATTAGAACGTTGTCTGCATAATATTCAAATTTGGAATCGTAGAGTCGGGAGAGGCGCATGGGGTTCGGCGATGTACGGCGACAAGTAACGGATAAATATGTGTCCGGGTGTGAGGACGAGTAGTTTCGGTCGGACTCGCGAGCAAAATGTGGGCGGGCACGTGCTCTTGTAGTATAAGCTACTATTACAGATTATTTCCTATTTAATTCTAAATCAATTTCTAATTCAATACATTAAGGAAAGTACACACCTGTGAGTCTGTACCTTCTTAGGCATTGCCGATGTTGGTGAAAGACGTTCGCTTGGTATGTAGCTCCTGCCAGCTCATCAAACTAAGTTTAACAAGGTCAAACCTATAAATAAAATTGACAATCTTAAATTAGCATTATTGTAACACAAAGTTATGTCATCTATCTGAAATATATTTCATTATCGCCATTCAATTACAATTTGACCTTACCAATGATTACTGTCTTCTTTCCGATGGACGGGTAAACATACGAGGAAGCATTAAGGGTGGAACAAGAAGACCAGTGGTCTGATACACTATAATGAAGACGTGATTAGTAACGTTGGATACCACACTTTCCTCTGAAACAACAACAAAAGTGAAAATGTAAAATAAAAAAATGATTTGGACCTTTGAAAAAATATTTGTCTCTGCAATACTGTATTCGCTTGAATAGACCGTCTCAACAACTGCGCAGCATCTAATGTCCTTCAAACCTACAGAAACAAATGACCTCCAACTATACCGACAAGAAGTCGTTAAATTGTAAATTACAAATCTCCCTAAGAATACCATTTAACCCTTTTTAATTCAATATTTATCTAGTTCTAAAACCTGTAATAAGATCAACGGTCAAGTAACGCGACACACAAGGTCGAAGTTCGACGCATGTATGATTGTGGGAACCGCGGCCGCATTATAAAATCAAATGATCTCTGACCGGAGAGGTCTCACGCTGACCGGTTCTAACTAAAGATTTCTCTCCCCAACAAAATAAAATTTCTTTTTAAATTCTAATACATTTATAAGTTGCCAGGAATATTAATGTTTTTATCTATTAAACTTTAATGTTTGTAATCTTTTGTTGTGAATTTGAATTTAGAATGTTTTCACACGGTTTTTAAAAAACGAACTAATTTTAAGAAGTGCAGTGCTTCGGATATTTCTTGAATACTGTGGTTATGAGGTAATAGGAACAGTTTTAAACCCCATCTGTTTTTGTGGATGTTTTTTTTCCTGTTTTCTTAAACAAAGATTACATTTAATAATTAATCTGTTAATTTTCATAGTACTACATCGAACTGCTTGAATTCATGCGATAGTAGTGGTGAAGGCGGCCCACTTGAGGACGGCATTAGATGTGTGCGGGCGTACAGTCACGCACACAACTACATACATCTATGTTAGCGTTTAGATTCTAATAACACGATAATATATTAAACGTTTTAAATCATACACAATTTGTTTATACATATATATATATTTAATATTGAATTATGTACGAGCTTTTAATATTCAATTAGTCAAAGGATAGTCTGATATAAGTTTGGTTTACATGTACTTAAGTGTTTTGTTTTTAGTAATGAATCTTGCTTACTTATTTAAGTGAAAGTTTACCAACCAAAATTAAATATCGTAAAAGTAATTGATAGTACATAGTTTAGTAATAAATACATGTGTGTAATGTTAACCATTTATGTATAATATGATTCAGAAAATAGAACTGATGCGTTTCGTAGATTTAGTACATATTATGTCGCTGAAGCACAGTACACACAATGCTGTTACTTAGGTCTAAAGCACAGAGTATCTACTATAAACATTATACGTAACGTTGTAAGTTTGATATGCATCTTTTGACCACATAAAAATGTAGGCAAACGCTAGTACATTAAAGCTGGTCTTTATCTTATATATAAAATTCTCGTGTCACAATTTTCGTTCCCATACTCCTCCGAAACGGCTTGACCGATTCTCATGAAATTTTGTGAGCATATTGAGTAGGTCTGAGAATCGGCCAACATCTATTTTTAATCCCGCGCAGACGGGGTCGCGGGCGACAGCTAGTTGTCATATAATTTAAAACATTGTAAAAGATGAGTAAAGTAAGGAGCATAAAACAACTGCAGGATAATTGTTGTCATGAGGTTCAATGCTTTTGAGATTCAAAGGGTTTAGATGTACATTTACGAATCTATGACGAGCTAGCTAAATAGTAAAGCTTATATAAAATATTCGAGTTTAGTTCGTTGACCACATCCCGGGCTATTCCCGAAAGTTGTCAGCTATCCCGGCGCAAGACTTAACGAATCTAATCCCCCGCGAGTCGCCTCCGGCCTTACTCGTATATACGTTCGTATGTGTGTGTGCCGAAGTTAGATCGTCCACACTTTACCGCGGACCTCGATAGAAACTGTACACCAGGACGACACATTGGAATTTAATGTAATATTATTTTATACATAAAGAATAAGTTCTTATTTTTCTTATAAAAATGTCTATGAACGTGAATTTGAAAAGTTTCTTTTAATTGAGTTTCTTTGATTGAACACGTTAGTCTACCGAAATTATTTGAATTTTCTTTTTTACATTTTAAAGCCCGTTTAGTAGGAAGACTTTACACCATTTGATTTACAAGCTATTTGTTAATATTACCATTCTTTCTAGAAATAGATAATATAATAGTATGTTTATTAAATGTTGCATCTATATGTTAAGTGTATTTGTCTAATCGCGCTTAGAATCCAATATTTCCTCCGCCTGTACACTGGTCAGCTCCTAACATCATTAATCTAACTTTCGTGCTACCCTTTATAATAGTTCGGTCCGTTCCCTGGAGCGGGGAGTCGCCGGCGGGGGTGAGGGCAGGGGTATGAGCGGGGTGCGGGTTGCGGGGGGATATTAACATACGAATTTGGAGCCGTCCACGCCAGCCTTCTTCTTGAGGGGAGGCGAATTTAAGTTTTGCGTCGCGTATTGATCCACAACGTTTTTGTTAGTGTAATCATGTATATGTAGAGTAGTAAAAATATGGATTATTTAAAGTAAAAATATACTTATTTTTATTAATAGAAAGATTCATCATTTTATTTAATCTTATCTTACTAATATTATAAATGCAAATGTTTAGATGAAGGGATGGTCCATGGATGTTTGTTTGAAGTTTTCTCCAGAACTGCTCAACGGATCTTGATGAAATTTGGCACAGATGTAGAACATAGCCAAAAAGAACACATAAATTAGTTAATCAAGTTTTTTTTTAATACTGCGCGGAAGAAGTTGCGGGCGACAGTGAGTGTTATTTATATAAAGTTGTTAAGAATTTTAACTCTATCTTGTTGCATTTAGAGTCATTAAATTACTAACTATGCACTCCTTTAATGTAGATTTCGCATCAAATATTTACGCATACTCTTTGTTACAATTCAATAAATATGAGTTTGACTGTTGGATTGAAACAAAAGAAAAACAATTTTAGTCATATCAGATTCGTATCACAATGAATAGAAGCTATAGTAATGTTGATAATTTATATATTCACAGATATTGAAGCGGAAGGCGTTCAACTATTGTGCATCTTTTGATCTCAGAGCTCGGTTCAGTGATTCAATGTCTCCAATGAACCGAAAGACCGATTCTCACAGCTCATGTCACTAACAGATCTAAGTTGCGCTTCCCCAAGTTGGATACTAACTTGTTTCACTTATTTTTACAACAAACAGATGTATTTATTAACTAGCTGTCGAAGTGTTGAGCGTGAATCCGTCCGCGTAAAATAAAAAAAAATAATAAGACTATGTGTTCTTCCAGATTATGTTCTTTCTATATCTATGCCAAATTTCATCAAGTTTCGTTCAGCCGCTCTGGAGATACCCTTAATCAAACCTGTATCCATCCATATAATATTCCATCCATGCGTACATTCGCATTTATAACAATATAAAGATAAAGATATTAAATAATTACATAAATGCAACGTTTTATGCTAACGTTAGAGATGTAAAAGCAAACATTAATTCCAATGACCGGCGAGCTCGGCCCCATCGCACTTCAAGTCCCCTGGCTATTCAAGAAATTGTCAAAATGGCTCCGAATAGCACCTAATATCTCTAGCGTCGTATTTTCCCGCGTTATTTCGCCCTCGCCCCCACCCTACCGAATAACCCACATGCTTGGGAGGGAAATTCGTTATCGTCACAGATTAAAAAGATCTTCAATGTGTATATACAGTGTGTTTTGTTTTGTTTGTTGGTAAATTATACAATCAATTAGCATGAAACAGGTTATTATAAATTATTAAGATATCAACGAAAATGACGAATATGTTTGTTCAAAATTCTCCACATGCAAAAAATATGTTTCATTTAAAATAAACATTATTGCAGTTTTAGTATTTTATCCATCTTGCTTAAGGTTTTGCGTAAATATTTCCACAATGAAAACCTACGCTTTCATTTAAATAAAACGTGCAGGCATCTTATATGAATAGCTGTCGCCCGCGACTCTGTCCTTGCGGAGTTAAAACAAAATATTTGTAGCCTATGTTCCTTTGTTTCCAGACTATGTTCTACATTTATACTATTACCATCCATCCATCCAGACATTCGCATTTATAAGATTAGTAAGATTACGTCGCAATATTGAAAGAAATACTAATAATGAACAACTTTCTTCCATACGAAATATCAAAGTAACAAAGTAAATTGCTTAACTCTTTCCACCTCAGTACATTGTAGGCGCAGACCCTTTATTTAACCCTTCTCCCTTCTCCCGTCATCCCTCAGATTACTTCAAGATCGTCCTTACGCACTTCCCCTCTTTAATTGTGACTCCCGGATTCATTATTGCCGTATCCTTGTGCGACCCGCTTTGCGCTTATCTTTAGATTCTCTATGTGTGCGTTACATTACCTTGAAATAAAATTTCTAGAATCGCCTTCAAAGCTAAGGTTAATAAGGCTGTGGTTACATAGAGTCTTTGATATGACGAGATTGGGAGAAGTTAGCATTAAACTAATATAAAATTACGTTATATAAAAAGGTTTAATAAAAACAAGGCTTTAAAAAGTAAGTTCTATCTATATGTAGTGTTATACAATTTTTAATATTTACTTTCAGGAGATAGTTACTTAACATTTAAGCTTAAACACGTCTCATCTAGTATTTATATATCACAGTAAAATGTTAGTTGGCTGAATATTGTTTATATACGTTTATATGGGAAACGTCAATGTGTTTGTTTCGTTAACTTACGGTATTTTCATTTTTGAAACAGAATGGACGATCATACATATATAAATATGATATAATTATATGCTTACTTATTGGTAAATATACGAAAATTACTGATTTAAATTTAGATCGTTTATTTCTTACACATTTCAATGAACTGTCATCACATAACGCTCCGTACACATAATGTTGAATCGTCGACGCGAATTTTCTATTCTTTCTGTCTTTGACGCTACCAGATAGAAATATCGGCGTTGTGTACTAACCTTTACGATAATTGCGCAAGTCGCTTAGCGACTATAGTATTGTAGAGGTTAGTACGACTAAAATTGTCTAGTTTTGAAGATTTA